CTATATATTTTAATTGAAATAATCAGGAGTACAATTAGTGCTATCCGAACACGCTAAGTTTTTTCTTCACTATAATCCATTGACAATTTTATATTAATATATTGACAATTTTAGTCACTTTCGGTCTATCTTATGTGTCTTGCGTAATGAAATACTTAGCTAATTACATTTATTTCATATCCGTTTTTTATTAAGAAGAATGTATACAATATCTTTTTTATGCACTTGGCGTATATTTTTTCTTTTTTAAAAAGGTTTTTTTTAGGTTGATTGTACCACAACTAACATATTTTCAGGATAAACTTTAAGAGATAATTCTGTCCGTGTACGAGAGAAAAGGTATATACACTTCTTCTCCCTGCATATATATTGTCTCACTTTAATTATACTATCTCCAATTGACGATCAATGTAATTTGTGATATTAGGTCTCTTCTTTATTAATGAACTCTATGAATTGATGTACAAACTTATACTTGTTTCACTTCAACTTACTGCACTATATACACCAGTATACTTCAGAGAGTTCTCTAATAAAGAACAGGCCTATAATTTCCAGTTCCAATTTATAATTGTATTTGGAGTCCGACAAACCAAATCGACGCACAGTTTATAGAATTGAAAAATATATTTGCAAATGTGCACATGAATATTATCAACATCGAAATCCGCTTTGACTGAAAATAGGAATCTTTCTCTTATTTGGTTTCTATTATCTCATTCTATAACTTTAATTAAGCTTATAGAGTGAGACAGTATAAATTAGAGTGAGATAGTATATAACATATACAGGGAGACAGTATATACATATATCTTTCTCTTTCACAGAATTTTGCCAAAATCGCTCATGACCAGGCTTTGTTATAGGATCTCTAGCTCGTATAAAATTCGCGTCATATCGCTCGTGTAAAATTCCTGTAAAATTTTCGCGTGAAGCTAAGCCTCCAATTTTGTTGATCAACGGCTATCGCGGATCCTGCCTTCTCCCCCCCTAATCACCATGTTGATGCAATTTTTTTATTGCGATCACGGGGAAGACGGTGCCAGCTACCAGCTACATAATACGTTAATAACCGCATTACGCGGGGCGAAACTCGCGTTATCGATTCCTGCCGTACGTTGAACAGAAATTAACGGGCGCCGATTACGACACCGTGCGAGCTCCCGATAAACTTCCGTGTGACATAACGTTCCTCGCGAATATATTCCGTAGCAATTAACGCGGCTGTCTCGCGTACGAGGCAAACCTGCCACCCGATTTCTTGCCCGCGACAAGATTCCCGCCGAATATATGCATTCCACTGACAAGACCAGATAATGGAAGATCAACGCGCATTGCCGTCAAAATCACACGCGTACGCTGATGTTCGCCGTGCGAACTGACGCGGAATATAGCCATGTTAAGTCGCAGAAATCATCATGATTTAGGGCTGATATTTAGGAATTATACCGATAGAGAGAAAAGTATAAATAGAAAAAAGAAAGAGAGAGAGAGAAACGCAAATGTTAATTATCGCTTCATCAGCGTTTGATTTCGCAATTACGAAATTTTAAAATGTCTTACACAATACGAATATCAAGACGCAATAAAACAAGTGTGGTATATAATACTGTTTACACGGAAAGAACAGTTTTGCTAAAGCACCTAAAAATTTAACTAGATACAAATCTGAAAACAATTTTGTTGGATTATCAAAATAATTACGTAGCCGATGTTCAAGCTGGTTGGAACTTGCAGCATTGCTCGTCACGCTTGAGTGTCGTACATTATTTTGGTAACCCAACAAAATTAGTTTCATCTGTACCCAACTAAATTTTTAGATACTTCAGTAAAACCATGTACATTTCGTTATACAACTTGCAAAACCGTGTATATTTTATACAACTTTAATATTATGGAGCTTTAATACTTGTTAACGTTTCGCAATGCGTTTCGCTGAGTGAAATAACTATAATTTTTAATTTTGATATTGTTTTTTTGCAGTACAATTAGTTAATCACGTACACTTTTTCAAATGATTTTATTATCATTACGAGAATATTCACAAATTTCGGTTATATGGCAAAAATTATTGATTATTAGGAAATTATCGTTTTTCCTTCTTTTTTTCTCCTCTTCAACCTTGCTATATATTAAATGATGAATAATAAATTCTCGAGGTACGAGAAATGAAAAGTGTAATTCCACAGTTGCGAAGTACAGTTGCGAAAGGTCTGTTTACAGAGTTGGCGTGTCGAATAATTAACTGCAGTCTAATTACAACGTTCTGTCACAAGCAAAACGCGTATTTGTAAGCAACAGAAATTCTGCCTTCTTAAAGCTTCCCAATTACGAAGCCGTCGTTCTCTTCTTGTCGTAAACGATTATCAGTTACCATTTACTCTCGAGATCGACACGAGAGCCTGTGTGCTTGTATGCGCTCTCATTAATACGCACTCGCGTGAAACCAACAATTGTTCACGTTTGCGTCATTGATCACTTAATAGCGCTCGTTATGTAAGCTGGTAGCGATCGGCGTGTTTAATAATCACGGCGCCCGATACGGTTCACTAAACGACGAAATATCGTGGTAGTATAACGCAAAGGACGAGGGAGAAGACTACCGTAAAATGAGCTCAGATCGCATATACGGGTGTAACTTTGCGTCGTACTATACATATTGTACGATCGCATTTAACAAAAGGAAATACGTAGCGTTTTAAAGAAGAATATTCTCCTTTTAAATTGATTTCTCGTAAAATTCAAATAAATTCGAAATTTCATATACATAATCTTTTTTAAAAGTAAAAAAAATGGCTTGAAATTATAAACACAATCAAAATAAAACATACAGCCACAACGTCAGGTAAATTTTGCGAAAGTCAGTTTATTAAATTACAATAAAATATGATTTTAAACGTTTCGGTCACTATTTTTGACCATTCGGTCACCATCCTCAGTAATTACATACCTAAGAGAAAATTCATAATTAAAAAGATGTTTCGCGAAATAGTCTTCAAATTTACAACTAAATTTGTTACAAAGGTATAAATTATTTGAATCGCATTTAATAAAATATGTCTCGCTATATAGTCTTCAAAATTTTTAATTTTAGTCGTCCTGATTAATACCGATATTCCAGAATTATTTTAAGAAGATCTTTTATTCTTGGAACGTTGTGTGCAAAATATAGAACTTCTAAATGCTACATTAGCTGCACCAACAATAATTGTGTAAATCACCGATTTATCACCGATTATTGTTGGTGTTAATATAGCACATTTGAAAGTTGTATATTTTGCACACAACGTTCCGAGAATAAAAGATCTTCTTAAAATAATTCTGGAATATCAAGACAATTAAAATTAAAAATCCTTTTAAGACTATATAGCGAGACATATTTTATTAAATACGATTTAAACCATTTACATCTTTGTAACAAATTTAGTTGTAAATTTGAAGACTATTTCACGAAACATCTTTTTAAATTGTGAATTTTCTCTTAGGTAAGTAATTACTCAGGATGGTCAAAAATAGTGACCGAACGTCTAAAATCATATTTTATTGTAATTTAATAAACTGACTTTCGCAAAATTTACCTGGCGTTATGGCTGTAAGCTCTCTTTTGATATTGTGTTTATAATCTTTTTTTTATGTAGAATTATATATATAAAACTTAAACATTCCGGTCCAAAATTATCCCCGCCAGAGTGCGATCCAACCTCATGTCCACGGTAGTGCAAAAAGATAGATAGATATTTCGTTTACTATTTATTAATATTCCTCTACCGTCATTCGCATATCATTGTTACGATAACGATCGATTGTCATCGTACGTATATTAATATAGATGTATAAAATTTATGTATTAAATATACGTGTATACATATACATGTACGTATGTATATTACAAAAAAATCGCCAGGCAATCTGCGCGAACCGTCGCGGTTCGGCGCGGCCACAGGTACGCATTATTATTGTTATTGCATAACAAATGCATCGTTATACGATTTTATTGATGTCGCTTATTAAAACAATTGCGTGCATGCCGTGTCGCGTCGGTTCGTGCGGACTCTCTTATTTTATATTTATCTACTCTTAAATGGTATTATTGACGATGGCAGATTTATTTCGTCGCTGATCTACTTCGCTGTGCGGAAATAATCTATGCTGCGATGTCACTGACCGAGGCACGAGTGAAGTGTCAGAAAGGACGCATTGATTATATGGAAAATTAGATTCCGGTGAAATGACTCAGACAACACGCATGTTCGAAATGAGACATAAGACATCTTAAAACGTTTAAAAGACTTCTTGAAGACATCTTACAATTACATATAATTATAATTTATCCAGGTCCACAACCTTGTTTTAAGAGGCCGTAAGTCGCAAAGCCGCAAAAAAATGACCAATCACAGTCGAATATGAGAAAAATGACTGTGATTGGTCAATTTCTTACGGCTTTACAGCCTACTTCTTAAAGCAAGGTTGTGGACTTAGACTTACGTCCCGATTTTGGACTTTCTGTTGATTAGGCAGTTACCTTTTACATGTAATGAAGCTTATAATGTGATGAACAAAAGATGTCATAGACACAAATAATGCATAGTTTTTGAGCTATGGTGTAGCAAAGGTGCAACCTAACACATGCCCAAAATGGAGACATGAGATATCTGAAAGACATCTTAGACATCTTTAAGATACGATATTTTAAAGATGTCTTACGTCCCAATTTTGAATATAGTGCTGTCTGGAAAGTTTTACATTTTTTATACACAATAGTTCGGAAACTATTCATTGAGCCTTGACGTATTTCTTGTTCACCATATTATAGAAGCTATAATATATGTGAAAATTAATTAATTTCACATCAGAACCCAATTTTCCATATAATTAATGCACAGTCCTTTCGGAAATGTGATTTCGCGAACGTATATTAAAATAGATTCATACATCCTTTATTTAAAAAACGCTAATTATATTAAAATAGATTCATACGTCCTTTATTTAAAAATTGTGCAAAGAAAGTATCAAAAAATGGATATTACAGAAAAATACGCCGCTTACGAAACGAAAATACCAGTACCGCGAGTTACAAAGTACCGTATTACATTATTTTCTTTTAGGCTACGTTTTCCAAAGTTAATTACAGCAATCGATCTTCATACTGATTGTGGGTACGCGCAGGAGCTCGCAGGTGCCGATTTACACGACAGCCTTTCCTCGGGGAGACTGGCGGAGTTAACTTACGTTCGCCTATTACATGTCGTTCACGAGCCCTTACGTGCAGCATTCATGCCGAGGTGGCAATATTCTAGTCTCGACGCGGCCCGCGCCGTAATGAGTCGGTAGCGAAACTACGTGATCGGTCCTCGTGGCGCGTTGCCGATATTGCCGCTGCTGCAGCTGCTGCTCCCATTCCTGCCGGAGGGGGTGGTATTGTTGTCGGCCTGGATGTCGATCTGAGAACACACGTTTCTCTATTATCGAGTCTCGTCGACGTGTGCAATATAAGCGTACCCGGAAATATTATTTTGAAGCCAAAGGAATGGCCTCTTTTATCTTCACGATAAATATTTTTAATGTTTCTTTATCTTTAGAGAATGGGGATCTATTTTTCAAATCTTATCTACAGCTTTTCCTTAAGTAAGATTTCATGTAATTCATTATTTCATTGTATTTCTTATCTCAAAATATGACTCTGTCAGTTACTGTAATAACTTTCTCATTCTGTAAAAGTTAGATATTGTCTAATATACAAGAAGAGTACTAGATAAAGAAAACTGACAAAACACTTTAATTTCTTCTAGATAAAATTTCGAGTAAATTTAACATTTAATGTTCCTAATTCATACTTAAATAGTCCTATGAATATAATTTTACCGCTTCTACAGCCTTAATCCTTAAATGCCACACTATGGGAACAGTTAAATACTAGATAGCCATATTCAACCCAATTCGATTGCTTATAACTTTCATATAAAAATGAACTTATAGCTTTTAAAAGAGTTTTTTTTTCAATCGAAATGCCAGAATTGTTAAAAACGATAATAACGATATTAGAATTAATGTACATATTTACACTAATTAAAAAAGCAATTGAAAAAATACTGAAAAAGCATCGGAAAAAGAAAACCGAGTATGTCGTATCAAAAAGACGCGTTTAAGGTTTAATTAATATATAATTTCGCGAGATGGGGACAAAGGACTTTCGCCTAATAATAATGATTTTTTAAGTCATCGTAATCATGCAACGTGAATTTTCGAGGTGCATCAAAAGCTTCGATTACGATAGCTGTAATTTATAGTTACTGAATCGCCTTAACTGACGTTGGCTTTTAAGTAAAAAGGGTCAGATAAGTCAATGTCGTAAGCCAAGCTGTCGAAATGCAGATGCAATGGAGTCGTTACGAAAAAGCGAATGGGAAAGTGGAGAGAGGGCGAAGGAGAGTAAAAGTGGCAGACAAAAACTTTCCAAGTACCGGGTATACAGTCGTTAATCATATGAAGTCAATCTACGTCAGATTACCAAGATTGATTAGATACACTGAAAGCCTGATGCATCAAAGGGTATGGAAGGGGATTAAAGTATATTACGTCGATGTTCTATGTTACTTCGGCGCTTTTGACAACGTTGTAACGGTGGCTCCCAATATCAGATTCTATGAATAAAACAGGTGTAGAGCTTCGTGTTGACGCACAACAACCTCGTACAAATAAGAATTCGATAAACAAATTTAAAGATAGAATTACAGAAATTGTGGTAAACTAATCTACTCTCTAATTCCATTTTCTCATCATCGCCATTATTGTTATTACTATCATTGTAATTACGAAAGTAACAGAAGACATACAGAAGTCAAAGACAATCCCGTTTCATCTTTGGTGGTCGTCGTCAGCCTGGAAACCGCTTTCAGCCCGCGCATTGTCATTGTGTCCCGTTTTTCTCTTTATGTCTTATTAGCAAGCAGTGGCGCTAACACGCCTAAGAGATTGCGCTGCAAACCATGGCGTATGTAAATCATGCTGGCAACACCAGGCGGAGAGAGAGAGAGAGAGGGGGGGAGAGACGTCTGTTCGAGCTGTTCATTAACTACTTCGTAGTGCGCCAACAGCACTTAGCCGTCGGTCTATTGTTACGATGCGGATGTTAGCCCTCGTTGTAAGTTACACCAGTGAATGACCACCGAATGTACAATATATTTATTAGTGCTGCAGTTGCGTAACAGTGTTACGTGAAGTAATATATTATTATATTATATTCTTTTTAAGAAAATAAAAATATGTGAGAATATCAATTGTTGCTGTCATGAAATTATAAATCATATTTAGTAAGCCAAAATAAAAATTGTGATCCCGAATGTATTAATTCTGTGTTGGTTTTCAATTTTATTATATTATTCTTTAATTTATTATATATCATTCTTTTTGAGAAGAAAATTAAAGGTGTAAAATGTCAGTTTACCATCATAAAATTATAAATTATATTTATAATAAATACGATATTTATTAATGCTGCATTTGCATAATAGTATTGCATAAAATAACATACTATTACATTATTCCTCTTAAAAGGAAAGAAAAATATATATGAGGATATCAGTTGTTGTCACGAAATTACAAATCATATTTAGTGAGTTAAAATACAAATTGTGATCGTGAATATATTCATTCTTTGTCGATTTCCAATTTTATTATTTATCAATTTATTATATTATATTCTTTTATAAAAGAAAATAAAAAATGTAAAATATTAAGTTAACCATCATGTTAACTGAAATTATAAATCGTATTTATAGTAAATGCGATATTTAGTAAAAATACTTATTTAGCAAAAATATCATAAATCAGATGTCGTGAATGCATTAATTTCTTTGCTAAGTTTCAATTTTTGCCGGATTTTTAGCAAGTTTTGTCGCGGCTGCAAAATCGTGTTATTTTCAATCGTATTTAACGTTTGTTATTATGGTATACATGCAATTTGACGATAATAATAACGCCAGCAGAAATATAAACGTCGATCGCGATTTTATCTGTTTGCCAATTATTTCGCGAGGCGCTTTGTTTTAACTCCCACCGTTTCGATTTAAACGAGTTTACATTTGAAAATTCGTTACGCCCGGTTTAGCGTGCAACGAACCATAACTGTGAATCGTTTTGTAACAAAGACTAATTACATTAAAACATGATGTAAATATTAACGTTGGTATCAACAAGATATGTATTTTCATGCAACGCTTTCCATACTGGGGTACGATAGTTTGCACAACAACTCGGGATTTCTTTCGATTCTATCCAGCACGGTTTGCAACTCCTGTATCTCCTCGGATGACAGCGGTGTTCTCTGCTCCGACAGGATGGATATGGCGTCGGAGAGGCTCAGGGACGCCAGAGCGACGCCGTCTTTATCGCCGTGATTCCGGAGGCCCTGTTTCAGCATCTTAATATATCTCTTGAGAGCGGAATTCATCGCGAGTCCTATTTTCGAATCGTGTCGCGGAAGTTGCAATTCCTCATCGGCACCGCGCCCCGTGACATCATCCTGCCGCGTCTCTTTCGCCTCCACTTTGGCGTTACCGCACTCGCGCGGGGCGAGAGATGACGCCTCCGCGGACGGAGATTCATCGTATCTCATTTCGTCGACCGTGCCGTTTGATCGAGTATTCAATTTCATGCCGTTTAATCCGCTTTTCGTCTCGGAATTTGCATCCCGCAGTACCGGATGCGAAGCCGCAACGGGTCCGTGCAGGTTCTCGGAAAGATTGTTCACGCTGGCGGGTCTCGTTCGTAGATTTCGTATAATTTTCGGCAGTCTCGATCGAGCGATGTCGTTGGTGCTGTTAGATTTTACGCCGTTTTCCGTTTTCGCGCTTCTGGCTTCAATCTCGTCGCTTCTCCGGGCTATTCCTGTATTCTCCCGCGAATCGATCCGGGACGTAAGCCCCGCGAATTTCTCGCTGTCGGGGATCGCGGATTTATCGGTATCGTCGCCCGGGTTTAACACTTCGGCGGATAATTCAATCTGCGGGCTTAGCGACACGCCTTTCGAGGGATTCTCCGCGCTTCTTAACCGTCGCCTTCCTTCACCGCGATTTAATTTCGTCCGGTTCTCCCGTCTATCTTCCACGGATGGCGACTCGGGCTCGAGTCTTAGCGCATTATTCCTGGATACCGGCCTTTCTCTCGCAGCGTCGGTGCCGGATCGGCTCGTTATTAATTCTGGTTCCTTTGTCGCCCAAGTTTCGCTTTCAGTTACAGGTGCATTAGCGAAGAAAGCGGTTGGGGACGAGCGCTTCCTCGGGCGACTCAGCGTCCGTGTTGCAGACGACAAAAACGACAAAGAGGCATTGTCGGGCATTGTCAAGATCGCCGTTCTGCTGGCGGACATTTTTTCCCCCGGAGGCGAATCGATAGTCTTCAAAGTTCGTTCCTCTTCATTATCTTTCACCATGACGCTTCCGACATCCTTTGATTTACTCCGCTGCCTACGCGGCCGTGTCGTGAAATTCTCTCCGCGCTGTTGCTCGGTCATCATCCCGGTAAATTCTCTTTCCCGTGACGCAACGAAACTCGCCGCTTTTCTGGACAACGCCGGATTACGGTTCGTCGATGTTGTCGAGGATTCCTTCGAACGTCCTCGAGCCGAAACTGTCAATTTCTGTCCCGGTAGACCGCTTCCGCGCGCCGACATCGGTCTCGCAACCCTCGCGGCGGAAATCTCCGTAATATTTCCTCCGTATTTCCTGTTGAAGGAGGTCCTTCGGTTCCCCGACATCCAAGGGGGACGCGACGACACACGGTTCCTGGGACTGATCGATGACTCGCGCGAGCGACATGACATTTCGTCCTCCAGGCGTTGGCTGGATTCGCTGCGGATGCTGGCAATCTCGCTGGAGCTCACCGAAATAAAATTTGACCTCCCTCCCGCCACCCTTTCCGCGCGACGTTTGCTCGACAATGGGAACACGGCGAATGGGTAATCTTCCAATTTTTTCTTGGATTCGCGTGAACGACCCGCGCTCGTCCTCGGTCTCGGTGATCCCGTAGCTTCCCGTCTTTTCAGCGATGTAGCAACGCGTGATAACGTGAAGATCTTCGAAGTATTTCCAGCGCTCGCTGGTCGATCGTTTCTCGTCCAAGTTCCCTTTCTGCTTCTAGAACCGGCGAATTGCGGACAGTCATCTTCCGCGTCGTGTCCAAGTGTCGCTTTATCGGCACATTTACGAGCTCGCGTCGGAATCGACCCTCTCAAAATCGGCTCTCCCGATTTTGAATCTCGATTGCTCGTCGCGATCTCAGAAACGTCATCCAGTGACGCTCGAATGCACGGATTCCCATTATCGTCTATGCTGGGCAGTTTCGAAAGATTGCTGTCGACGTTTTCTGGAAGATGATTTCTGCTGTTTTCGCGATCGATACCATTGTCAGAAATCGTTTCCGTTTCCTTCTCGCTGGTCCGCGGTCTTCTCATGCCTCTCGACAAGAAATGGTCCAGCGGATGAAGACGCTCGACGTTCTTCCGACTCGTTGCATCGGCGACGTCGTAATACTCCTCCACAAAATCGAAAAGACTGTGATCGTATCGATCGTTCAATCGTATGCCAATTACCGAGTCGGCCGAGTTCAGATGCAGCGAATTCAAGACGACGTCGCCCGGCGGCTGGAAGTCGTCGTACTGCTTTCTCAGGGTAGCTTCGATCAGTTTGTAACGATAGGCTTTGTAATCGAGGTTCGATATGTCAATTATCGGATGTCGTGAGTCCACGAAGGACGAAGGACGATCCGAGGATGAACTTATCCGTATTTTTGATCCGCTATCTCCGATCTTCCGGTCGACTCGAATCCCACGTCGACTAGAACTCTTCGAGGTACCGCTGTTGCTTTGTAGAGTCGGCGTGGAATTGATCCTGCGGGCGGATTCCGGATGCAAGTTGGAACTCGATGTGGAGTCGGCCAATTTGATTGTAGCCGGATAATGCATCAATAACGATCGATTGAAACGATCGTAGCGACGGCGATACCTTCGTGGGGTCTTCGTCAGGCCTCTCAACGGCTTGTCCTGCACGTAACGTAATATTCAATTTCATCGGGAAAATGTAAGAAGCCACCGCGGCATTCCGTTATACTCGACGTTAAATTTCCCCTTTAAAAAGAGAGAGGAAATTTTTCGACAAAACTACTTTAATCTCGCTCCGAATCTTTTTCGCAATTATGTTACGCTTCTATAAGGGTGAGGTCCTTTCCTCCTTATAGAGGGAAAAATATTCTCACTTCTATTCTGACTTCATAATGCAGTGCTCAGTTGTAGTTGTACATTATCGCCTTCAATGGATTCGATATAGCGGTATCGCGGTGCGCGCGCTTTTGCCATTGTGTTATAAACGCGAATGTTATATCACGGTTACGCCGAAAGAAATTGGAAAATTTACAGTCCAGCGCGGTGCTTCCGCTCGAACACCGCGGAAACGTTATCGATGCGCACCCGCGTTTTAAAGCCGCGGTTCCCGAACGCGAGTTTTCGAGATAACGCATCGACGGCGCCGTTACGTCATATGAATAAAAGCCGGAGCGTCGTCCCTTGGCTCTTGTTTATCGAAGGAAATGCGCCGGACGAATAAAATAAAGATAAAAAAAGAGGAGGGGGGGTGAATAAAAACGTTACACCGTTCGTTCCTATTTCAAGCGGCGCAAATCCCGATAAGAGGTACTCGCGTAACGTTTTCACGCCCGACTATCCTATACCGAGGTAAGGGGCGAGACAATTTATCGGGGCACGTACAAGGAGGAAGTAAACGCGCACGATCAACGGCGTCGCTAACAAGATCGTCAGGGCTAAAGCGAAGGCGCTCTCAGCCAGGAAGGGTGGTGTCGATCGTAAGGTTAAGACGAGTTTTCCCGGCACCAACACGTCGAACATCCCGATCGCTTGTTTCCCCCGACACCCGTCGTAATTGCAAATCGCCCCTCGTCGTCTTTCGCACGTTTCACTTTAGACCGCCGATCGCAGGGCTGCGGATTCTCTCGACCGGTCGATGCCTTCGAGAAGTTGACTGCCATCAACGGTGTCTTCTATAATGGAGTACTATCGTCGATAGTCGATATCTCCGGTCTCGAAAGCTTCGCTATCTTCTTTTTTTTTTCCTTTTTTACCCTCTCGATTTCTTTCTCCCTCTCACAGCCTCATTCGCCTCGGGTCGATTTCATTTCAAATTAGCTCAATTATTGATTGCGGTATACGCTGCGGTTTACGTTTCGACCACATTTTATTGTTTATATGTATCATCTCACGTATTACTTTATTTACGTGTAAATAATGATGGTTATTTTAAATACATCACACGTATCCGTAGCACGTATATTTTCTTCTAAAATAAAACATTTATTTCTTGTTCATTTAGTCAATATTATAAATGTTAAATTTTAAGATAGATTTTCATTTATATATAATTTTATATGTCAAGCATTTTGATACATATGGGGATTAGTATATTTTACACGAAGTTTTAAACGGAACGGAATCCTATCTTGAAATTTCTGACGAGAATTATGGATCATAAATTGGATTTTCAAGATTATCGCAAGATTTTGGCATCAGGATATTTAAATTATTTAAAAAGTTAATATTTGATTGCATCAATGATTAACTCCGATGAAATATGTATTTCTGGGTCATAGCACGTACAAACACTTACAGTTGTCGGTATTGTACGTTCTGGCGTTGTCTGGACGACTCGGAGTCTGCCGGGTAGGCGGAAGTTCACGATAAGGGGCCTCAGTGTCTGGATAACCGTTCTGTCGATGCTCCGGATGTCGCTGATAAGCTCCCGAGAAGATTCTGGTGTATCTTAAGTAACAACCGCTCGGTATTTGCCACTGCAAGTCGAGTTAAAATACTTCTTGGAATCTCATTGACCTCGCGTGTAATCGCGTGAGTACTCTTGTGTCTACTCACCTCGTATGAGGAGCTGGGCACGGGCTGGGGCGATCTGCCAGGGCACATCAGCATTCTTCTTCTGTAGAATCTCGGCTAAACGAGGAGATAAGTGCACTATGAGACTCCTACCTTCCCACATGAATTTCTCTCTCGCGCTTTAATCTACGGCCGTATCCTCGAAAAACGGTCCTTTCTACAAGACGCGCGCGCGCGGTAGAACCACTTCTATTGAAACGACTATAAAGGTACCGGTGCTTTGATATTTTTGTCGGGTCGAAAAGGCATTACAACTAAAACCGTTTGCTAAAATTGAAGCAGTAAGATGTCTCGCGTATAGATTTATGTAATCCAAAAAAAAAGTAGATCGGGTAATGTTTGTTTCCACCATTGTATTGTAGATTAACTTTAATCTCGGTTTAACTTTTATCTTTCTTTTATAGTGTTCTAAGAATTAAAAAAAGGTAAAGAGTAAATTAAATTGTGATTAAAGTTAACTCTTCATAGGCACACTGAGTCTTTTTTTGACCCAGGCGAAATTTCAATCTTAAATATTTTGGCATAAAATTCAATTTTTTAAATAAAGGTTTCAATATTTAAGTTAAATAATTATTTAGCAAAGTAGCAAAGATGTTGAAAAGTAATTCTGAATTTTCCTAGATTTTTTTAAAAAGATAAACCCAGTAAAAAAATTGGAGAAAAAAGACCCAGAGTGCCTACGGAGTAAGTAAAAATATGTATTCTTATGAGGGATTAACCTACATTGATAGAAATTGGCCTAAATTGGTTAAAAAATGGTCTATCAAAATTGGTGTGTGAAGATTATCTGCGAAGATAATTTATTCATACTCACCTCAGAGTCGAGAACATCCGTGGATTCTGCAAATATACGAGACAAATGTTGGCTCAATTGTGTTCACCACCGATAATTACATTTATATTTATATTTATGATAGGAAAATGTGACGTGATAATATTCTACATTGAAGGGAATTAGCAATGTCGCGTCGCGACGCAGACAGCGTCGCGACGCCATTCGCATCTACGCAACCGCGAAGCCTTTCTCGGGCTATTCCCGCGGGGCACAATGGCATAAATTTACCTCTCACGTGTATCGAGAAATGGCATTCGGCTCGATTTCCGGCTGCATCCGAGGCGACGTAGCGCACATTGTGAATGCCGGGATACATCACATGTCCAGGTCCCTGTGCGAGACATACGATAATTAACTTTTCGCGCAATTGCATGGAAATTTCCTCTGAGGAAAATATCCGCTTTGTATGTGCGAAACGGTGTGCCGGCGGCTAATCTTGTACGCGACGCTTCGTATTCGTTCAAAATCGAGTACAATTGATGTGACGCGATCGATCACTTTCCTTTTGTTTTTATTCTTCTTCAAATGACCCGAAAGTGATTAGCGCAGCGTACTCCCCCTTCGCACGATTCTTGTTTCAATTTGCCTAATCAGATTAGCCGTCAGGTTGCATAATGTCCAAGGCCATTTATAACCAATGCTATCGAGAGTGCAAGCCACCAATTATCCACGGGCCGGTTAACATGCGGACAGGATAATCTCTGTTATTACGTTAATAAAGTACACGTACGCTTTCCGCGCCGAGACGCCAAAAGGATACAATAAAAACAGGACGGAAGCGTCGACCGACAATGATTAATCATCCAGCTGGTTTTTCCTACGGTACCGTTCACGAGGAAAATCGTAGATACTATCCTCCGTCGCATTGCAGCAGTTTCTTCGTTGGGTCTCATTTTCTCGAAACATGAACGGATAATTAATGGACGATATCCTCGCTCGATTAATATGCCCGATTGTCAACGGCAAAAGAGGGTTAATTAACTTCAAGGTGCGCCAACAGAAGACTGGGAAGTCTCGACCGCTCGATACCGGAGACATAAATTTGCGAATAGAGTTAAGGAAAATTGAGGAAGTTTCATAGATATAAGGAAAGATCGTATGTGAAATGTTGTATCCGACAGCGAGTGCAGATACGGGTTGCTTCTTGACAAGTACGTACCCTCGTTTTATAAATGTGTTCCACGCCAACGTTATCGGTGAAGGTCGGTTCTTGCCAGAATATCAGACGATTTCGTTCCCCCGGGCTCAGTCTGACCTCGAAAGACACGGGACACATAGTAACCTTGGGGTTTTCGGTATCTGAAAATATCGTGGGGTATTCTAAGAATTACTGAATTCTCTCGTAAAATCATTGTATTGAACTCACTTAAAGTCTCGTGCTTTTTACTGCAATACTGCTTGCGCCACCCAACTACCCATTATTATTAACAATATTTTTGTTTTTCTCTTACTCTTTAGATGTTAGTGCTTTTAATCACATTCGTTAACCTTCTGTCTGCAATCTGGATTTTTTGGCACAAACGAAATCTTTCTCTTAAATTTCTTCAAAATAAAGAAGGGCGGAGTCTGGTGTCGTATCCTAAAATTTTGTTAGTGAGGTCTTAAAGGTAATTCTGAATGTTTTCACATTTTATTAAAACAATAAAAAAAATTTGGACTGGACAATAATAAAGACCCAAATTATAGGTGGAGAGAGTAAAAATATGAATGCAGAGGATTAAGATTTTTTTTATCAATAACAGGTAAGTAGAACATTTAAATTTGTATCACGTGGAAAGGACAGTTTTCCTGAAGTATCTAAAAGTTAGTTTGATGCAGATCTGAAAATAACTTTGTTGAACCAGCAAAACAGTTATGTACAACGTAAAAAGTTTCTAACTCTACCAGTTTGAGCGTCCTACGTAATTATTCTGATGCAAACAAAATTATTTTTAGATCTGTGTCTAAATTTTTAGCTTACATTTCAGCAATACCATTCTTTCCGTATATCTTTGTTACGAGATTGTAAACCCATTTGTTATTATACTACGACGCGTATTAGATATATTCAAGATTTCACGTGATCCGGTACTTTCTCGTAACAAGAGCATCTTTTCAATAGAACTCCCAACAATCTTGAATAGTCTCACATAGAAATGTAGAGCGAATAGAAATCGAGATAAAGCGGAATATAATAGACGAAACTTGGCGAGACTAAGCGATTTTTGAGACTGTAAAGATCCACGAAGGAGTAACCAACGCGATTCTCGCGAGTTCGTCCGATCGACGCGAGCTTATTCGGCGTAATCGCGTATCGACCACGATGCACTGGCACTCCTTCCGACCGTTGCGTTGCGGGGAGAACTTGCTTAAAGCGAGTTTCATGAACTTTCAGAATGAGTAATTAAGCGGGATGGGACGCGGAGTGCACTTCGCCGCGGAAACTAAAGTTTACCCGCGTCGCGTCGGGACGATTCGAGTGTCGAGCCGATTCCCATCCCGATCGATTGTCCCCTGTGCGAAAAGTTTTCTCGAGAAAAGTAGACAAATCGAAAATAAAAGGGAACAGAGTGGAAGGTGGAAACTTCACGGGATTTTGATCGAAGATTGATAATCTATGAAATCAGAAATTCTGCTTCGGAGCTGTCAAGTTTTCTGGTCCCATTTTATTCTTATCCGCTCAATTGAACTCCCAGGAGAACACAGTTGGGAGTTAAGAAGAGAAAGGTGTCACACTCTTCGCATTAAAATATGTCAAGCTAAATCCTTTCTCATTGTATCTTTCGTCACCATTGAATTCCAATTATAGATTTTATTAGCGTTCATCGGTACGCTTGTTAATAATTCTGATCCTTATTATAATATAATAACGTCCTTATCAAAATTTAATACTGGAAGGTAGTGATTAATTACTTGCTTTGAGTATTAAAAGCACTGTTGTTCAATGCTTTTAATATTCAAAATAAGTAATTATATTCAAAGTAACTATAATTAATCATCATCTTTCAGTATTAAATTGGCCATTCAGTATTAAACTGAATTTTTATAAGGGGGCGGAATGGTTAGTTAGCATAAGAAAAATGCAGATATAATTTATTATTATTTGCTTCAATGATACGTTTACTTATACTGTTTATAATAGCGCTTCTTATCACCGCGATGATACTTAGTGTAAGAAAAAGGAGCTTGCAGGAAGGAGATCCATTTTCTTTTCCACTTCCCAAAGCGAATTCTTTTTGTTCCTGATTTCTCTCTTATGCGCTGGACTTACCGCGAACTCTTATCACGATCCTACAGGTGCTGGTGTAATTAGAGACCGGCGACCATGCCGTGAAGGTAACGACCGTCGTGCCCGCTGGCAGATCCGCTTGCAATTGCTTTGCCCATGGAGGTGAAGCGTGTACGTATCTGAAAAACATAAAAGGGGAAAACAAAAAGAAGGAAACAAAGGCCAGCGAGATAGACATGCAACCGAGTTACTCAATGTTTTATTCAAATAACTATAAACTATTTCGTTTACATTAATAGATTAACAAATAGAAAAAGTTTGGATATTTTTTGTTTTACCTGCATAGAAATTTCTCAAAATCATAACACATATCAAAATATCTAAATTTGACACAAATAAATATTTGCCAATTAATATCGCTCTGCGACACTAACTGACAGATCCATTTCCATTCTATAAATGGATTTCTGTCCATAACCGAAATAGAAATAATTCGCGTCACTCTGTCTAAAAATAGAATTAAGTAACAATAGTAGTTGAACAAGGTAAATCTAACACAAATAAACAAAGCTTGACAGCTTCACCACATGTTTGATCAGAGCGGATGCCTAATAATAATAATAATAGTTTTACGTAAATCTTTATACTTTTCCAATTCATTTAAACTGCGCGCCGATTATTTGCAACCTTGAAATATAGTCTTAAAAGATCGTTGAAACTGGAATATATAATATTACAAATGGACAAACAATTTATTAATACTGATACTAATGAGCATCTTAAAATATTGTAAAAAATTTATTGTGAAAAATATCATCAAGATAAATTTATATATTTACACATTTTTGATGGAAAATAGATTCGAGTAAGATTACACATTAAATTGACAAGCAATTTAATAATACTGATCGATGCTAATGAGCATCTTAAAACACTTTAAAGGATTTATTGCGGAAAATATCATCAAGATAAATCTATGTATTTTACACATTTTTGACATTTGAAAATAGATTCGGGTCGGATCAATTTTGGTAGCCCCGAAATTGAGGATCTTTGCTCTATAATGCGCTTCTTACCTCCACCAATCCATGTTGGACTTTGGTTGCGGGAAAGTTACACGTATCGTGTTTTGCCTAGCCGGTAATTCGACGTCCATGTCCTGGGGGCAGCTCACGAACGGTTGTGGCGTGTCTACGGTGATAAAGTCGATAGTTAAACTCTTGATACCGATCGCCCAATTTCCCATACTATAACACGATAAGAAACTTCGATGGCGAGCAATTCCCATATCATTGGCCGCTAGTGCTCAAGAAGTGTTATTTTGCTCCAGAAAGTATCATGTCGTGCGTGAAAAGGTTTATCACGCTTTTATCGGTTTTACACGGGATGTAATAACAATGCAACCGTTAGATGTACAGAGAGTTTGTAAAAACATTAGTTTCTATAATACAAAATCGATTTTCTTTTTATAACTGAAAAATAATTTATTTAATCTATCGTTAAATTGAACGCGAGGATTCTCGGTTATCCTCAGTATATCCCGTCCTATAGAACCTAAAGCCACCCTTTATTTATAAAGCAACCATAAACGCGCGTAATATCGTTTGATGCGAGATAGGAGCCACTTAAAGAGCACCGCTCCGAAAAGCATCTCTTTCAAAATAGGAGCCGATTTGAATATCTTGTGCCAAGAATGGATTCCCGAACGATAGCGGCTGTAAACTACAATAGCAAAAACCAAAGCGGCATAAAACGGACATAGAATCAAAATCTCCTTTCCATTAAACGAAACAATTAACGTCATAGAGAAAAGAACCGCGAAAATGTGCGCGGGAATGAAAAAGCCGGCAAAATGGATAAAACGAACGAAAGGAGAGGAGCCGGAACGTAAAAACCCGCCGGTCCGAGTAAGCTCGTTAAGAGGCGGCGTTAACGTATGATCTCGTTAGCAAGCAGCCTCTACACAGGAACTTTGTATTATTAAAAGCTGCTCCGAGCGGCATGACTAATCTAGCGCGTCCAAGAATTTTCGTCGTTAAGTTATTTGCTCGGTTCAGGCAATATTTTACGTTCGACCGCGCATGACCGAACGTTCCCTTTATGTAAATTGAAAAGAATAACGTCTTGAAAATCGAAGAGAAATTTAATGAGAGCTCCAGACGTCCCCTACTTGGTGTAGGTCATAGACGTAATAGGTATAGACTGTGCATTCCCCGATCTTTGTGCTTCGTTAAAAAGGAAACATAATATTGAACCGCATCAGTATCTCTCTTCAACTTGTTCTGAGAGAAAGAGCGGTATCTGCGGTGCAAATCAAGCTACTTTACTATTCCTGAGTTTATAGTGACAACTGCACAGGAATGCACAATTTATATCTATTACAGTGCGGTCTATTTATAATATACCTCTGGAGCGCGTCTTCCCTGTATTAAACTATAAAAAACTGCGGATCGACAGAGGAAAAGCAAACAAATACTTATTTTTCTAATCCTTTTCTACTTACAGTAGTAAAACCACATTGGCCAATCAGCGAATCAATGACAAAGAAAACAATTTTTGCATCAGAGTATCATTAATTAGACATTGGGAATTAAATTGTAGAAAACTGCGGTCCTACAGGAAAAAAGAAGGCAAAGACTTATCTGATTCTTTTCTACTAGATAAAACCACATTAGCCAATCAGCGAATCGCTGACAAAAAAAAACCAGTACAATCTTTGCATTAGCATGTCATTATCCAAAAATTGGGACACCCCTACTCCTCAATGGCTCGCTCCAGTGTATTATAGAGCTCACTGACCTATTACGTCTACTCGCTTAAACGCCGCTTTAAAAGAGATACGCAGGTCTTCGAAAAAAATGCTGCCGGCACGTCTAAAAAACCGTGAAACGGCAAGAATAAATTTTAAATGAAAATAACGATGTTGAAAAAAATGTTCCGTTGAAAATAATTACACGACGATGAAGCGTACAGCAGTTCGTAAGGTAAACGTCCCAGTGTCCGGACACTTACACAAAATTTATTATTATTAATCTCAAATGCTTTTTTTATTACAGTATTATAATCTAATTGCATTTAAAGATTACAATTAAATTATAATATTACGTTTTAAAAAGCGTATTTGAGACTAATATTAATTTAAATAAATAAAGGATTATGTAAATGGACATAGGTTACGTCTGGACACATAGGTACATGTCCAGTCACTGGGATCGGACAGTACCTATGTCCGGACAGTTACACAAAACTTTATTTATTTATATTAATATTAATCTCAAATGCTTTTTTTTACCTTAAAGATCAATTTAAATTAGTTGTCTTTTGTCATTAAACATCTATTTATATTATTATTTTCCATCAGCATATTAATTTTCCAATTGCGGTCGGACACTGGGACAATTACGCCTCAGTGTCCAACCGGTTTGTCCGGCCACTGGTACATTGACGCATTCTATTATTTATTTAAATATTTTAATTAATAATTGTTATAGGGTTCAAATAATTTTTCCTTGCTGAAGGGAGTCTTGAGTTTTCAAATGAATACAAATATTTATATTAAAAACCTTTTTGATATTATAAATTGTATTATTTATGAGAACCTAATGCTTAAACGTCCGGCTACTGGGACATTTACCTTACTAAAGCAACGCTCGATGCAACAGTCAGCTCGTTAAAAATTTTATCGGATAAACATCTTGATTAATTTCTCAGCAAAGTTACGGGACGTGAAGGACATGATGCCTGCAGCGTTTTTCTTGGCAACCGTGGGACTGTGGAATCGAGTTATACTTGGATTGTAAAGAGAGTCTGTTGCGACTTCGCGCAGACATATAGGTTCTTTCCCGTTCCAATGGCCGTCACTGACGCAGTGTCTCGTATGCGGTCCTTCTAACCGGAAACCTCTGCGACATCGGACATGACACTTGGCGCCCTGGGGGTAGACGGATGCGCCGGAAGGATGTCCTGGACATCTGATCTGCTCGATTAAACCCAGGAAAACAGAATAAATAACATAGTCAAGAGAATAAAGTTTACATATTTGTGTCACTATAATAATTAAAAATGCATATATAAATTTAAGGCTCTAATATATGGAATTTCACAAAAATTAAAGTACATTCAGTTCCGCTAGTCATTTTTTATACAATAAATTTTTATAAGTAAATTCAAACGTTTCGATCTTTAATGCGGTGTTCTTCAGTGAATATAAATCCATTGTATGTATAATTTATATTCATTGATCAAGAAGTGTTAAAGAAATGTCGAATTTATTTAATGATTTTATTTATAAAAATTTATCGTGTTATAAATGAGCGGGCTCGCAAATAACTCGTGTACTTCAATTTTTGTGCGCGTATCACTATAAATTATATTATTATAAACACATTATTTTTCAACTTCCGGCTATCTCGTTTTTGTTCCACTTGATCTCATTTCAAAAACTTCGTAACTTTATTAACTTAATATTTTAATTTCTGCCGGTTGTTTCAAAAAAGTATAAATTTTTCATTTTTTCAGCCATTCTTGCAGCTCCGGATTTTTCAGAATTTTTTTTGAACATTTTAACACGGCATGTAAAATGCAAAGTGGTGTTGGAAATGTCGGTAGTGTGTAGTATAGTACATCATCTCTTTGAAAGATGCTTTAGAATATATATTTCGATAGTATATCGACTCGATCTATATCTAATATGACTTGCGATATCCGCGCGACAGTTACCTCTGCATGTATAGGCGGCTCCATGGCACGGCATCCCGACGTTGGCGAGACACAAGTTTTCTCGTCGGGCGCCAACACCAAATCCTCACTGCAGGCGCAATAGTAACTTCCGGCGGTGTTGATGCATTCGCCAGTGCAACCGCCGTTCCGGTTTAGACACTCGTTCACGTCTTGACATTGACTCCTGCTCATGTAATCCCATGCATAAAGAGTGGGAATCGCGCGATATCTGTTTTTACTCTACCAGCTGCTGCATACATCGCTTTAGATCTTACCTCGAAATTAACGTATATCCAGCGCGACAGGCGCAAACAAATGATCCTACGGTATTGACGCACTCTTGATCGCATCTGCCGCGACGCCATTCGCATTCATCAATATCTGCGGCCGTGGAATGCATTTTTGAGATTAATGTTATAAGAGCGTGTACAAAATATGCTCACATAATCAAGTAAATATATAATGTAACATGATTAATGTGTAATAATGATAAATTTGTTTGATAAAAGTATATGAAAGCCTATAGCTTTAACTTGATTTTCACATTTTATAATAGGTATATATAATATTATAGGTATATACAGAGTGTCTTGAAATTCGCTAATCAAAATACTATAACAAGAAAGTTTTCAAAAAATTAAGTAAAAAAGTTGTGTTAATTTTTATTTGAGAAAGTAATTTTTTTAGATATAAGGTTTAAATATGGCTAATTATAGATTACGTTTAGACGGCCACCTGTCCATGAGTCACATGCGGCATGTGTTAGTGAGAAAAAATCGAAATAGTTCTGTGGCATTTTGTCGTAACTGTTTCTGAAATAATGGTTTTTCTGTCTAGACTTGTGCGCAACTTTTATATAACAATAAAAGTACATACAAAACACCCTCTTTGACAAAAAGTTACGCACGAGTCTAGATGAGAAGATCATTATCTCAGAAACGATGACAGATACGGTAAACTGTCATAAAACTATTTGATTTCTTTCAACAAGACCTACAAGAAAGACTCTTACGCGTCAAAGTCATATCTATCACCATTATCGAGAAAATGATTGGAATGTCTAGACTTGTGAGTAACTTTTTTTTGCAAAAGAATATATAAAATAGAGTAGGGCTTTTTCGTTCATTTCTCGCGATAATGTTTGTTTCTAAACAGAACATATTGATCATTTAAAGGTTGTGCTTGTACCCTCAAGGAGCAATCATGATTGTATGATGTTTTTATAAATTTATAAATATATCACTGCAAAGAATTTGCTATCTTAAATTTTCATTCCCAGCAAACACGCAAACACAGAATATAACTGCAATGTTGCAGCAACATTGTAACATTTCGGAAATATAGCAGGAA